ACTGAGATGCCCACAGTTTTTCTTGGTATGCATGCTCCCTCAGGGCAGTGAATTAATAAACCCAGCTTTGTTCAACTACAGGTATATTCTTGATGGTTTGTGCTTGGAAGGCATTGATGCTGTATGTCTTGAGTACTTGCTATGGGAATCCCTTGCCTTTCTTCTTAGCTCTAGCTCTTCCTTTCTACCACTTGCAGTCATAGTGTAGGGAATAAAAGGAAGGACTCTGGAACCAGATTGCTTGAGTTCAAACTCTGGCTCTGATACTACTAGTTATGTGACTGTGATAGTTGGAGCTATGTGTCAACTTGGCTGAACCACAATTCTGTGTGGTTTGAGCTGTTGTGGTGTGGTTGTTCCCATAATGGGATCAGATGACTATGTTTGAGTGGCCAATCTGTTGAAAGGGAGTTCCCCTAGGGGTGTGGCCTGCTTCCAGTATATCTGCGGACATCCTGGGAGAGGAGACATTCTTCTGTGGATCGGGATTCTACTGTGCTGCCTACAACTGTCTGTGAGTGAACAGTCCACCATTCGGCCTGGAGAACTTGGATTCGTCATTCGTTGGAGTCAACAGCTGGTGTACTGCCTGCCAGCCTTGAGCTCCTCAGCCCCTGTGGTTGCAAGAGCCAGGAAAAGCCTCCAGCTTGACATTTGATCCAGGAACTTTGGACTTGCCAGCTTCTATAAGTGTGTGAGCCATTTTCCTAAGATAAATTTCTCTCTATATATACGTATATATAAGCTTTACTGTTTTTTGTTTCTCTAGAGAACCCAGTCTAACACGGTGATCTTGGGCAAGTTACTTAAACTCTCTTTGCCTCAGTTAGCTGATCTGTAAGATGGAAATGATGATGATGATGATACCTCTCAGAGTTGTGAAAATTAGGTGAATTTATATATGTGAAGCACAGGACTGGTGCCTGGTAGTAAGTGTTTTTGTTAATATTATTAATTCAGCAAACACTGGTGGAGTTCTTATTATATACCAGACCCTGGGGATGAGACCTGTCCCCCACTCTCCCAGAGAGCACAGTTTAGTTAAAGAGACAAGAGAAAGAAGTTTCACCGCATGGATAAGAGTTAACATTGGGGTAAACCCAGAGATAAACATAGCAGGATGCTTAACACTAGCCTGGGAAGTCAAGGAAAGCCTAATTGGTTCTGATGAATAAGAGTATCCAGGGTTGGGTTGACTGGGGCCAGGAAGGGAGTGGAATATGAGAGAAGGGTCTTGGCAGCAAGTTGAGCTCAGCGATTCTCACCATCTATTAAGTCAGAGGTCACTGTTTAGGCATCTTTCTACCCTTGCAAGACTTGGGCCAGTACCTGGCACAAAGCATGTGCACAGAGGAATAAATGTCTAACACCAAATTTGGCAGCTTTCCCCACAAACAACTCCTCTGATTTTTTTATCTCATGCTCTGACTGCTGTTATCTGGGACCCCTGCAACTTCTAAATCACTCCAACACATTGGCCCCCAGTTTCTTTCTTTCTCCAGTAATGTTTGCATCAGTCCTTTCCTTTCTGTCCTCAATGTCTCCTCATGAGTCAGGCCTAGAGTACAGATGCCACGCTGGCCTGCAGCTTGTTCCCCATTCCCTCGACTCTCCCTCACCCCACATTTCCTGCACAATCTCTGCTTAGTTCCACCTGGGCCCTGTCACTCTTTCCCTCAGAACCTTCTGTGGTTCCCTTGTTGTTGTTGTTGTTATGTGCTGTCGAGTTGGGCCCGACCCATAGCGACCCCTCCTTGGGTTTCTGAGGCAGAATCACTACAGGAGTAGATTGCCCAACATTCCTTCCAAGGAGTGGCTGGTGGGTTTGAACCGCCAGCCTTCTGGTTAGCAGTCAAGTGCCGTAGGCACTATGCTACCAGAGCTCCTACTTCCGAAATAAAGCCCAAACCCCTTAGTGGGCATCCACACTCAGCACAATCCAGGCTCAAACTCTATCCAACCTCATCCCTTCCCTCACTGTTTTTTAAGTGCTTCCTCTCCAGTCAGACCAACAGCTTGTACCTTCTTGTTTTCAATCTAAGTGTCCATCAGCAGCAGATTGTGGTATATTCACACAATGGAATATTACTCAGAAATAACAATGAATTAACTACAGCTACAATCGTCAATCTGGATGACTCCCACAAACACTACATTGAGTGAAAGAAGGCAAACACAAAACAGTTTGTGTTGCATGATTGCACTTACATAAAGCTGAAAACAGGCAAAATGAATCCATAGTGTTAGAAGTCAGGGTAGTGGAGAGGAAGGAGCATAGAGATTGGAGAGGAGCTTAAGAGGGCTTCTGGGTGCTTGTGAGTTCTGTTTCTTGATCTAATTTTTTATTTAAAAATTTTTAAAATTGTGATTTGGGTGAAAGTTTATAGAGAAAATTGGTTTTCCATTCACCAATTCATACACGTTTAGTTTTATAACATCCATTGCAATCTCCACAATGTAACAGTACTCTTCCCACTTCTTCTCTGTGTTTATCATTTCCTTTTGTCCTTCTTTCCTGCATACTTCCTGCCTTCTTAACTTTATCCCTGGGCGAATGCTGTCCTTTTGATCCCATATGGTTTGTTGTTCTAATGAGTGCATACCTTCTAATGGATGTATACCTTCCTGATATTATTGTTCATGTTATAGGCCTATCTATTGTTTGGCTGAAAATTCAGCAAAGGGGGTTGAGTTCAGTTCCTGGCTTGAAGGGTGTTGAAGAGCCACCAAACTCTCGGGTTGTCGACCAATCTCTACCAGACCAGTGAGCCTGGTCTTTTTTTTTTTTTTATGATTTTGATTTGTTCTCCCACTCTGTCCAGGACCTCCTACTGTGATCCCTTTCAGAGCAGTCAGCAGTGGTAGTCAGGCACCATCTAGTTCTTCTGGTGTCAGGGTTGTGGAGGCTGGGATTTACATGCCCTATTCGTCATTTTGGACTAATTGTTTCCTTGCATCTTTGATTTTCTTCACTTTTCCTTGCTCAGACAGGGAGAGACCAATAGCTGCACATTATATGGCCTCTCACAAGCTTTTAAGACCCCACTCACTACTCACCAAAGTAGGATGCAGATTATTGTCTTTGTGGGCCATGTTATGCCAATTAACCTTAGTGTCCCCTGAGACTATGGGCCTGAGCCCCCAGGCCTAGTGACTCATTCCCTCAACGTATTTGCTTATGGCTAAGAAGTTTTCATAACTTTGCCCTTTATATGCTCTACTACATTCATGGATATATTTGCAGCACATATAAATACATATGTAGATGTATCCTCTGACAAAACTCTATATATTCATGGGTGTAGTCCCATTCACTTTTCTACCTCTGTTCAGCTGAGTACCTGTCTATATATCCATTCATAGGTTATAGTTATTACTGTTATTGCAGGATTATGTATGTAATTATATTTACCTTTTTTGTCTTTAATTCTTGTTCTCCTTTCCGTGTCTTCCTCTACCTTGATCATTTTGTGCTGACCTCTCCCTTATTGTGTACTGTTTTCCCCTTCACTCAAGTTAATACCTGTCTATCTTGCAGTTAGTGATTTACCCTCCTTTTCCCTCCCACCCCTGGTAAACTTCAAAGAATGATCCTTTCTGTGTGTAAACCCTTTCTTGACTTTTTACAGTAGTGGTCTCACACAATATTTGTTCTTTGTGATTGACTAATTTCACTTAGCATAAGGTCCTCTAGGTTCATCTAGTTATGAGGTGTTTCACAGATTCATCATTATTCTTTAATGTTGTGTACTATTCCATTGTGTGTACATATCATAGTTTATTCATCCATTCATCCACTGATGGGCATATAGGTTGTTTCCATCATTTTGCTATAGTGAATAATGCTGCAATGAGCATGGGTAGGCATATATCTGTTCGTATCACAACTCTTATTTCTCTAGGGTATATACTGAGCAGTGGGATTTCTGAATCATATGGTATTTCTATTTTCAAATTTTTAAGGAAGCACCATACAGTTGTCCAAAAAGGTTGTAGCACTTTACAGTCCCACCAGCAGTGTGTGAGAGTTCCAGTTTCTCTACTCTTGCCAGCATTTGTTGTTTTCTGTTTTTTTGATGAGGTCTGTTTCTTGATCTGGATGCTGGTTTTTTGGATATATCCATTTCTTAGAAGTTTATTGGGCTGTATACTTATGTATATTTTTGCAAAGGCATACTTCAACATTGAACATATGCTATCACTGAATATAGGGGAGATGCCATGTGAAAATGAAGTTGTAAGGGCCTAGGCCCTTCCATTCATCTTGCACTTGAGATTGGATCACCCATGCATTGAGACATTAAACAGTAACTATCTGTTGAGTAAGGGCGATACTCAAATGCATGTGCAGAGTCTGGAGTCAATATAAGTGTCTTAAATCATGGCTCCAGGTCTCTTGTAATCAATAATCTCTGCAGCCCTGACTGCTTCTGTCTTAGAATAAGTTCCTTTGACCCAACAGTTGGGGCCACATTATCAGTCTATTTGAACTTTGCATCCTTTGTCACATGTACAGAATGACAAGCCAATCTTTGGAGAAGGAGAAATGGACACTGCAGTGGTCACTATGTCAGGACCATATTCTCAGTGATAGTTGTTGTGTTGTTGTTAGTTGCTGTCCAGTGGATTCATGGCAACCCAAGTGTTATAGAGTAGAACTGCTTCATAATATTTTCTTAGCTATATAATAGAAGCAGATTGTCAGAAATTTTCTTCCATAGTAACATTGGCTAGGTTCAAACTGACAAGCTTTGGTTATCAGTTGAATGCAAACTATTTGTGCCTACCTAACAGTCTTAATTCAGCAAACGGAAGGTTGAGATGGGATGGGGGTTGGGGAGGCAATGTCAAGTAGCGAACGGTAGGTCTGCTCACATCTCAAAGGTTAAAATCAGTTTTGGAAGTGTGGGGTGACAGGGTCAGTCTCCCTTGGGTCCCGTGAGCAGGACAGAGGCCCCAGCACTGGCCCTTGTTGACAAGCAGCAGTTTTCTCTGCACAGCTCTTCCTGGCCTGGATCAGAAGAAGCGTGGCAGCCACAGAGCATGCTGCCTGTTGATGCCACCTCCACCCCCATTGTTCCTGCCTCCGTTCTTCAGAGGTGGCCGAAGTCCCGTGAGTAGTTTCAGACCTGTCAGAGAATACAAATTCAGGGTCCCTGGGTCCCCTCACACAGTACCCCCATAGCAGTAAACATTGGCTGTTCAGGTAATTCAGCCCAGGTATCCCACTCCATAACTGAACTCTGGAAAGGAACTTAGGAGTTTCTGGTGGGTGTCTATCCTCCCATCATTTAAAATAAGTTAAGGATAGAGATTCTTCTCAGGAGGGAATTGGATTGGGCACCATGGCCCATCTTCCTGAAAATAGTGAGGTGAATTTATAACTTTATGTGCCCTCATCAGTTGCTCAGACATGGAATTTCCCCTTTTGTTTTTCTTCTTTCCAAGTATTTATGAAATTCCCTTCCATAGCCTGTGTCTAATAGAGACCATCTCAGGGAACACAGGAAATAGTCCTGTTGAAGATGCTCTGAGGTGTGAGAGAGAACAGGGCTCATGAAGAGAGGAGAAAAGTGAGGGAAAGGTCAGGGTTCAGGAAGCTGACTGAGAAGACAACAGGCTAGGGCTTTCCAGGAACATGGGTTCTCAGACCTTTCTGGAAACTCTTAGACCTGTACTGTCCAATAAGTATCCATTAGCCATATGTGGCTATTGAGCAGTTTAAATGTGGCTAATTTGAGCTTTAGGAACTCTGGTAATGTAGTGCCTAAGGCACTTGACTGCTAACCAGAAGGCTGGCAGTTCAAACCGACCAGCCACTCCTCAGAAGGAAGACGGGGCAATCTACTTCCGTAGTGATACTGCCTCGGAAACCCAAGGAGGGGTCGCTATGAGTCGGGTCTGACTCGACGGCACATAACAACAATAACAACAATAATTTGAGCTTTAATATGCAGTAAGTATAAAATATACCCTTGGTTTTGAAGATTAAGCATGGAAAAAAGAATGTAAAATACCTCATTAACAATTTTTTAAATATTGTATGTTGAAATGAAAATATTTGGGGTATATAGGATTAAATATATTATTAAAAATTAATCTCATTTGATTCTTTTTACTTTTTAATGTGGCTACTAGAAAATATAAAACTACACATGTAGTTTGCATTATATTTCTTGTGGACAGAGCTGTCCTAGACATTGGAGAAAGGCTCCTGATATGAGTTTCCTAACTCCATCCAAAGTGACCATTACATCTCTATAACCCATTCAGGCCAGGGACATCTCAAGGGCAGATGAGAGACCAGAAACTGGTGGGCCAGAAGGTTGTCTTCTTGGGTCACCCTTTAGGGTATCAAGAAGCTGCCCTGGAGCAGGCCTATATCTAGGGTGGTGACTTTCTTCTGTCCCCTAAGTCTGACCTATTACCCCTGTGTTGCTTTGCCTTGAAGCTTCTTTCCCCAGACATGAAGAATCTCATCCTTGAACTTGAGACCACCCAGTCTCCATGTGTGCAAGGATCACTCTGCTCCCCTGGACCTCCTGGCCCCCAGGTTGGTGCACTCACCTAGACCCTCTCTTACTGTCTTCTGTTCAAAGCAGTGAAGTCCAGTGGGCAGAGCCTCCTGGTGTTAGACTCACTAACATGATGGGAAGGGGGGTGGCTATTCTTTCTTTTCTAGCTCACCTCCAGCTCCAGGTCATGTGGATGGAACACTGGTTCTTCTCTGTGTGAATTCTGGCCTTCCAGCCTTGATTTCTTCATCTGTGCAATGGGGATAATAATTGGCCCAGCTGTACTGAATTTTGGGGAAAATCAAATGAGGCACTGCCCAGATGGATATGGTCATTGTTATAGTTATCAGCAAACTCTTGATGACAATCTGGTCCACCCCTTATCCAACCTTTGACCTCACCTGTAGACCCAGAGGTGGCTGCATTCAGTGCAGGAAAGTGAAGGCAGAGAGGAGCTTGTGACCCTGAATTACACTTGGCCCCCAAATAGTGCTATCAAGCAGCCCACTCTTCCTAATCAAAA